TCTTAGCTCTTACATATGACTCTATCTTCCTCACAATCTTCGCAACCCTGTCGCCAAGCTCGCAACAGGAACCTGCCGTTAGACACGCAGCTATTGGGGCGATTGTCATGATCTACATGACCGGCCTCAGTTGGGCGCTTGGATGGAACTCTATGCAGTACCTCATCCCAGCGGAAACATTCCCACTAGGGGTTCGAATTGTCGGAGTAAGCCTGGTCACACTTTGGCACTACGCCAACCGGATTGGGGTTTCTAAGGTTTGGGTTTAATCCAAAGGACCTTTGTATCTCGACATCACACTAACTCACTTAGGCCACTCCTATGATGCTCCTCAGTGACGACTCGCTCACGCCCAAAGGCACGTTTTGGTTTTTCACAAGCATATCCATGCTGGGGCTTTGGTTTGTCTGGGTCTTCGTTCCGGAGACTTCTGGAAAAGGACTCGAGGAGACGAACGCACTATATACAGGCAATCGCAATGCTCAAACCCCAGATTTGACAGTTGATGACGACTCAAAATTGAGCCAGATTGCGGAATTGGCCCGCAACTCTAATCTGACGAGCGAAAGCAGCTCCCATCAATCGGGCCGCCACCGGTAGGAGGCAAACCCGCGTATTTCCGTGATGGTTGTGATATATCCGTCTTCACAGCTACCCCGCATTCTTGTACACCGCGAAAAGTCTCGGCGACTCCACATTCCTCCACATCTCATCGATCATTTCCGTACAGAGATATTGGATCTTACCATTATTGTCGAAACTATCGTCTAACTCTCGCTTTGATTGGTGAATGCGCCATCAAGTCACAGCATGGCTGGCGGCTCACCGAATATGATCGCGGAATTTCTTTTCACTCCGGAATATGTCCTTAAAAGGAGCCTTCGTCTTGAGAAACGCTGACATTTCCATTCCTTTTCACTTTTTACTATTGCTTATTGCAAGTCCTCATACAAAATGGCGGGAAAGATGGAGGATCGAGAAATCTACGATTACGTTATCTGCGGGTAAGTATATCTACTGTGAGGGGGTGTACATCAACTCATTCAGTACCTTTGATCGCGTTTTCAGCAACTTACACTCTTCAATTTAGAGGAGGCACTTCAGGATGCGTCATTGCAGGGCGGTTGGCCGAGAACCCTCAAATTAGGATCCTCGTCATCGAGGCTGGACAACATAACAAAGATCTGGAGAGTGTTCACATGGCTGGGGCGTGAGTGATACGATAATACGCCTGCATGAAACATTATTGATCATGGCGATTTCAGCTGGTCCACCAATTTTGATAAAGAAACGGATTGGAACATTGTCACACGTCCGATGTCTGGTGTCGACAACCGGCAGGTCAAACTAAGCAGGGGCAGGTTCCTGGGTGGCAGTAGTGGGTGCAACGGAACCCTCTGTATCCGTGGCTGTAAACAAGACTACGATGATTGGGGCCTAGATGGATGGAGTGGTCAAGAGTTCTTCCAATACATGCGGAAGGTTGGTCGCTTTTCGTGAGGCTGCGACATGTGATACCATTTGAGCTGACATGTGGTTCCAGGCCGAGACATTTCACTCGAAGCCCTGGTTTAAGGCTAACCACGAGTATCACGGCCATTCCGGACCTTTGCATGTCGAGCCACACGATCTTGCACCAATCAGCAATTTGATTATGGACTCGTTTGTCTCACAGGGCCTTCCACTTGACCACGACATGTTCACAACGGGGGAGACACCCCACGGGTGTGGTCATGTACCACGAACAGTACACAAGGGTATCCGTACAACAAGTGGTGATTTTATTACGAATGGATACCTCCGGTCTAACGTCACAGTTATGACTGAAACCACTGTCGACAAGGTTCTTCTGGGGCAAACTTCTGAGGGCTTGAAGGCTGAAGGAGTGGTGGTAATCACGTCCGATGGCCCGAAATCTATTTACGCAAAGAGAGAGATTATCATTTCTGGGGGGGCATACTGTAGCCCAGCAATTCTCATGAGATCTGGGATAGGGCCCAAGGAGGAGCTCGGTAAGCATGACATTGAATGCAAGGTGGATTTGCCAGGAGTGGGTCAGAATCTCCTGGACCATATGGTATGTTGCGCTTAGGAGAAGTCCGAGTTGGTAAACACACGTCGCTCACTAGGTGGTGCCTAGATTGTTTTCATATTCTATGAGACCGAAAAGCCCGGCTTGACAAATGATTACCTCGTCCACCACCGCGACAGCTTCGAGAAGAGCTACGCACTCTGGAAGGAGAAAAAAGAAGGGTTCCTTTCAACGTTTCCATTTGGTTGTTTCGCATTCGCCCGACTTGAAGATCGTCTCAAGGACGAGCCACTTTGGCGGGATGCACCACGGGAGCCCGGTCGTGACCCGATGGGCTTGACTCCGAAGCAGCCTAACATTGAATTCTTTACCACGGAATGTTATGGCGGACCCAAACAGTACGACCAATTTCCTATCGACCACAAGCATGCATTTTCTATTATCGCGGAATTGTTCTCTCCTCGATCTCGAGGGAGCGTGACACTATCTTCGAAGGACCCGCTTGAAAATCCTGTAGTGGATTGTAATTATCTTTCGGATCCATTGGACCTCCTTGTTCTCACAGAAGCCTGTCGATTTGCCAACGAGATCATCACCAAAGGAGCTGGAACTAAAGACATTGTCAAGGGATCGTGGCCGCCCAACCTGACTCATCATACGTACACCAAAAGAGAAGAGTGGATTCCCTACGTTAAAGAGCACGGAACGACCTGTAAGTCAAATCCTACCTTCTTCCAGGCGTGGCCGTACTGATGTTCATTTGACAGGCTACCATGCCGCAGGTACTTGCGCCATGGGTAAGGATGGTGACCCTAACGCCGTTCTTGACCATAAGCTACGAGTGCGCGGGGTATCCGGGTTGCGCGTTGCTGATTGCAGTGTTATGCCAACGCTGCATGGAGGCCATACCCAAATGCCTGCTTACGGGATCGGGGAGAAGTGCGCTGACCTCATCAAGGAAACTTGGAGCACACCCGCACTAGGAGGAGTGTCAAAGCTATGAGCAAGTTCTTGCTAGCTCCCAGTTTTTTTGTCCGTATCTACTTTACTTCTACTCTGTCTTGAACTGTCCGCCGCTATTCAGCAATATTCATTCGTATGTGCTCTTTCAATATGATGGTGGTAGCTTTCTTCAATCCAACTACTGATGTTATGAAAACATCGTGAGATAGAGACACCTAGAGCAAGGTAATATCATTCAGCCAAGAGCCTTCAACGCACCATTTGAAAGGCATGTGTAGCCACCGCATACCTTGCAGCGACCTACCATGGCAGCGAAGCAGAGGGCAAGCCCGGCATCGGCCCTAAGCTTTCGGCACTAGCCTCGCGGTCGGGTCACCGCGCCCAATGAACGGGAAGTAAATCAGCCTTGTGGAGGCTAGCGCGAAGCGACTGTTCCGCTTTGGCAATGAATTATCCAAAACCATTTGCCGATGACTCCATAGGGCTGACGACTCTGAGCCTTTCCAGGCCTGATAGACTAGCTCACCCTAGATGAATCGTGGTGGAGTCAGGAAATGCCGTCTTCACAACAAGCAATTGCGTGCTTTTTTAGTCTGGCTCGGCGTGGAAGTTGGCGAATGTCAGAAACGAAGCAATTAAAGTTCCGCGAGGCAAAAAGAGGAATATCCGAAAACAGCGTCAACTGAAAACTTTAGCTGCGGTACTCCGAGTAAAATGACGATAAGGTTGAAGAGGGAACAATAATGACTCTTTGGGGAGGCGTGTCTAGGGTTTAGGGTGCTAGTGGACCGTCCTCCAAACTACACCCTTTCCCCCCCATCTCTCTCTGCTTCCCCAGCATCGATCTCATCTGTTTGTTTTTACTCTGACGTCGGCTGCAGTCCACTTCACAAGTCGGCTTCATACCAGCCTAGTCTTGTATCTCATCGACAGGCTAGAATGTCCCAGCCCTTTGAACCTGGCAAATCCCCGGTCCTGCCCGTCGTGGAGTCCTCGTCCGAGAAGTCCGGCAAAATGCAGGGGATGGGCAGCAAAGAAAGCCGGTTGAAACAGAACATCGACAGCAATTACGCGGATCTGATCTGCGTGGTGCTATGCTTCCTGACGGGTCTCTGCGATAGTTCGGCCTTCAATGCCTGGTCGTGCTTCTTAGCCATGCAGACTGGTAAGTTCTTCGGTCCCCCCCGGGCGCATTGTTTCCTCTTCTACCATCCCTACCATCCCCCCCTCTCCTCTTCCATTTTCCGTGAACCGAATCACCAACCAGACACAAACACAACAGGAAACACCATCGTCCTGGGCCTGGGCGCCTCCAACCTGCCCCGCGACGCGCCCTACGGCTGGCTCAAATCCCTCGTCTCGATCAGCAGCTTCTTGCTGGGCTCGTTCTGCTTCAGCCGCGCCGGCCGGCTGCTAGGCCCCACGCGGCGCGGCACGCTGTTCGCCTCCTTCATGGTGCAGGTGGCCTTGATCGTGATCGCGGTGTCCCTGATCCAGGCCGGGCTGATCGCGCAGCCCGATATTAGTAGTAGCAGCGCCCACCGGCACCACATGCTGCTGGACCTCATCCCCATCGGCCTGCTGGCGTTCCAGTCGGCGGGCTCCATCAACTCCACGCGCTCGCTCGGGTACAACGAGATCCCCAGCGTCGTCATCACGAGCGTCTACTTCGACATCGCGTCGGACATGAACATCTTCGCCGGCAAGAACGTCAAGCGCAATCGCCGCGTCGCCGGCGTCGTGATGTTGCTGGTCGGCGCGATCGTCGGCGGGTGGTTGAATCGCAGTGCCGGCGGGATGGCGTCGACGTTTTGGTTGGCGGCCGGTATTAAGTTTTTGATCGGGTGTGGGTGGCTGGTTTGGGCGCCGAAGAAGCAGGATGGGAATTAGGGTTGTCTGGCTGACGGGTTGGTGGTAATTCGAGGGGTTGTATATGGGGGACTCTAGGTGCGCTGTATATAGCGGGATCGGTCTCCTTTAGCGATTTCATTCTTAGATTTAGACATAGAGCGGTGGATCTCCGGGCCCAATAGACCATCGTTACATCATCCAGCGGAGATCACGCAGTCAAACCGTGTTTCTACTTTCCGCCAAATATACAAGATATGCCTCTGTCGTCATCATTCATGACCGTCCATTAAATTTACCCAACCGTGCTGTAAACGCCAAGATATATCGCAGGGCTTTCCTGGACTAGAGGCGGGCTCCGAAGCGCCTCAGCTTCCACCTATGTACACAATATAGTTCCCGCGTCCAGGGCTTGCTGTCTGCTCTCTGGCCCAGCAACCGAGTCGGGTTTTTCAAAACGCTGGAAATCTGCGATCAAAGTACTGCCGTGATCCGCAGAAGCCGTCATTCAGTATAGCTATTGTACAATTTGCTCGCTGCTCATCCTCGTCTCATCGCTCTCCTTCCGCTTCCACAATCCTTTGAAGGGTATTGATGCGCTTTACTCGCGCATGGGACGAAGGGGGCTCTGGCGGGGGAGCATCATCGGGGGGCCCCGAGCGCGGAGCCAGGCGTCGTTGTAAGGACCTTCGGTACGGATGACGCTACCGATGGACATAAAGAGACTGTTTGGAGCACAGTTTGTGAGCATGGGTTTGTGATTGTTGACTGATATCGACAGGGGAAAAAAAAAACAAGGTATAGTCCAACCACATACCCGAAAGTGGCGCCCGAACCAAGCATGTATTTACCCAGGGTGCGGAAGACGCCGTTGGGACCGGCTCCGTACTGGAAGATGGTGACAGTACCTAAGACTTGTTAGCTGGATCTGTTCTGCGCAGTTTCTGACTCCGTCGCATGGATACTCACCGATGATGAAACCCATGATACCACCGACAGCTGGCGAGAGATGAGGTTAGCTCCCAACCCTAGTGATTTTAACAGCTCAGAAAAAGTAAGGCTTACTGGATCCCATCAGAGCACCCATCTTCACTGTAGAACTGATTAGCACATGCTCATAGAAACCTAGAGCAGCCGGACCCGTAGGTCGGTCCACTTGTACTGCGGATTGTCTGAGACTTACTCTTCTCGAAGGTGTTGGGGCCGTGGGCCTGGGGGGGACCAGCAACAACAGGCATGATGAATAGCAAAGGAAAGAAAGAGATTAAAACTGAGGTAAAGAAGAATAGGTCAAGGGTACAGTACACGAGAGTACGAAGACACTGCCGGCGTCGAGATGCAAAGCGAAGCTCCAGCGCATGCAAAGCCCCGAGGCTCAGGCGATGCCCACCACGTGATACCGCCTGCCTGATTCGGCACGGCCCTCTCTTTGCCGAAAGATGACATAAGCCACACGTGTTTGAATCACGTGATCGAGGCCTGAGGCGGGTGGAGGTTAGGGGAGAATGAGCAGGAGAAGGAGGAGAGAAGCCCGTGAGCTGATGATGCTGTGGGCTCCCTCTTGCTCGCTCGCTCCCGCTTCAGTCGCCGGTTACCACACCCATGGGATCTGGTCGCAAACCCGTGTGATCCTAGTGCGTCGATTCATATTTCTCGACGGCCTCAGAGCCCTTGCACGGCGGCAGTTCCGTCCTGCGTGTGCCTTCTTTTTACTTCTGGGAAATCCTCTCCCTTCGCTGGACCGTTGCTTCTGCCGGTCGCTCCTCGGCTTGGGCCAAGACCTTGACGTCTCCCTGGTCTCCTCCCAGCGCTTTTTTAAATCTCCCGCCCAAAACCCACTTTAATCTGATCTCGGCCCTTTGTACGAGTGAAACACTGGTAAGTCCCAATGTGATCTATCTCATAATAGAGAGGGGCTAAGGGGCCCATCGGCTACCGTTGCTGCCTCGACTCCGAAGGGGCTTGGTGTTTATCGAGGACTTGTCCGGGAATAGTTGCTAACGTGACCTCCTCCCAACAGTCGTATTGGGTTACAACAACCATTTTTTTTGTCGGCGCGCCAGCCATCGCTGCATTTCTTTCACCTCGAGGATCTGTTGCGACGAGTTGGAGCAGCTGATTGTCGCCCGAGTGAATCTTCTCTCTTGCCCTTATTGCAGTCACCGCTGACCGGACGAGCGCCTATGTGATATACCGGCCGAGCTATAATTCACAACACTCAGCGCCTCCCTGCGGTTATCCTTCTCCATGACTGCTGTGGCATCACCACCTAGCGTGCAAACGGGGCCTCGCATGGGATGGTTCGATACTGGTAACGGAGGACAAGGTGCTTTCTCTTCCATGGACGCGGAAGAAGTGTCTCGGACATTTATGCCTCGAAAGACCGTCCAAAGATCGAACTCTTCGTCATCCCTCCGATCCAACGGCTCCGCCTCAACTACAGTGGCTCTTACTGAACAGAATCCGGGCGCCGCACAACCTGCGCCCACAAATACTTGGGGCAAGAAGAAGCCCTCGAGAAATCTCTGGCATACCTCCAATTCCGAGCCGCAGTCCCTACGCGGCATCCCACCCTCCTCTCAAGCCATGCCGGCCTTTTCTTCCGGCCCTGGCGCTTTGTCCGCGGTCCATCAGCCGTCCTCCATTGTTCCGTCTCAGCATATGCTCCAACTCTCCCAGCAACAAAATGGCCTCCGCGCGGGGAGCGTGGCACAGGGAGACCCGTCTGCGATCTTGACCCTCTTGCCCATCAACGGTACCTTCGAGAAGAAACAAATCACCGTGCCTTTTTACCCGGAGCTGATACGCATTGGCCGACAGACCAATGCGAAGACAGTGCCCACCCCAGTCAATGGATTTTTCGACTCGAAGGTGCTATCACGGCAGCACGCTGAAATTTGGGCCGATAAGAACGGGAAGATCTGGATCCGCGATGTTAAATCGTCCAATGGTACATTCGTGAACGGAAAGCGCCTGTCTCAGGAGAACCGCGAATCCGACCCTCATGAGTTGCGTGAGAACGATACTTTAGAACTCGGAATAGATATTGTTAGCGAAGATCAGAAGACGATTGTTCACCACAAAGTGTCCGCCAAGGTCGAGCATGCGGGCATCTATGCGTCGATTCCCAACATTCTCGACCTGACGCTTGGCGACTTGGATCCTTCGGCTGGCAATGGTCTTGTTCCGTCACCACTCACCCAGCCTATGCTACAGCTTCGCGGTCGGTCAGGCAGTACTATGAGCAACCGCAGTGCACAAAGTGCAGTGAGTAGTCAGTTCAATGCGATGCAGCAACAGCGTCAGATGAACTACTGGAATTCGCCGATCTCAATAGAGCAAGTGGTCAAGCGACTCACGGTAGGTGATTGTGTCCTCTCAGGATCTGGCCGAGGCTAATTAAACGACCAGAGCGAGATGAAACAGGCGAAACAGCAATCGCAGGAGCTCCGGCAGACGGACGAGTTCCTGACGACTCTGATGAAACCCGGTCAGCCCGAGAAAGAAAAGGCGAAGCATTCGCCGCCCGATACCAATGCCGCTCGCGCAATCAATGGCAGACCCAAAATTCCCCGTGTAGACTCTTTCTCACGGTTTTCTGAGCCTCCCGCACCTCCTCCACAGCAACCGCTCCCTGAGAAGCCGGACGCTCTACCTCGAAATGGCACAGACTCCCTCTCCCCTCTGAAGCGTTCCGATACCGAGAAACCCAAGCTTGGTGGCAGCTCGCCTGTCAGTCGTGATAACAGTCAGATCCTTTCACTGATTGAAGCATTGTCATCCGCCAAACGGGAGCTGGACACCCAAGGCGCCCGTGTCAAGGAACTGGAAGCCATGTTGCTCCAAGAGCGATCGGCTCGCGAATCCGCCGAAGAGAAGGCCAGAACTTTGGAGATGCGGACCGTTACAAATGGTACGCATGATACTTCGGTGTGCAGCGACGCCGATCACGAGATCACGCAAACTGTGCCGATGGATAAATCGGTCGAAGAGCCTGCTACCGAAGTTGCCGCGGAAGTTGTGACTGAGGTAGAACAGGCGGATTCCCCGGTCATTCGTACCGAGGATCTCCAACATCGTCTGGAAACGATGATCCAGGAAATGGAAGAAATGAAGAAGCAAGTGACGATCTTCAAAGAACAGGCCCAACATGCGGAAAGTGAAACGGCTGAAGCACGAACGTCCCTGGCGGAGATGATTGAGACATTACGACGAGAGCGCGCGGAGCGTGCCGAGAGCGATGCCAAGATGGAGGCTTCAGGAACGAACCATGTTCCTGACACCACGATTACCAAGGCGGAGAATGCCATCGAGAAAGATGCCTCCGAGCCTAGCGACTCACGACTGCAGCCTGCTGCATCGCCCCGCATGAAAGAAGACGACACTGCAGATTCCAAACTGGCCGCGCAGCCTCACCGACATGACGTTCTGGAGCAATCCAGCCCATTTGCGTCAATGCTGGGAGTCGTGCTTCTAGGAGTCGGATTAATGGCCTACCTAAATGGATGGCAAAAGATGGATAAATGATAAATCTCCTGCCACCATGTTATGTCTGTTTTGAGCGAATGGCTTGAATTGTTGGTTTATTTCGAAAAGGTCCCCTTTACCCCCATGTTATTGCACCCTGGAGACCGTTTGGTCTACCGCCATCCAATCCTTACTTAGCCCATTTTCTACTCCCGTCATATTGATTTCTAGTTCTGACCCCTTCTCTCCCCGTGTACTCTGAATCAACGCTTCACAGGGTCTCTGCGTTGGCTGTGGTTTTCTTTCTTCTCTATATTTGCACTTTCTTGCGGCCCCCTTATATGCAGTTGTTGTTTTGCATAACCTGCATGACTCTCGCTTGCCTTTCAGTTGTTAGATATCATTTCTTCGTTGGTGCCCTGTTGATCCAGTAACGAATCCCTGGCCGCAGTGGTTTATTTTCTGTTAATGTTTTTTCTTTCTTTTATTATGGGCAGAAGCAGGTCATGTAAGGCATACCCGCCTTTGTGTATTAGTCTACATAGCATTACTTCCTTGAGTTCCAGCGCGATGAATGCTTAACTTTCCCCCCACGGTCCTTCGTGTATATTTTATTTTACAGAGAAATGAGCTGGTTCGACCTAGCGGTGCGAATGGATTGAACATATGTGAAGTTTTGCAGCTGTAGCTGTAGCTGTAGCTGTAGCATAGCTTGCGGCTTGTATGGCCTGCTGATGGATATCCGTTTTGGAGCGATCTCGAGGAATCAGCGTGTGTTGCTGTCTCCTTTGCGCAGCCTGATATGCCATGTCTGTTAATGGACACCACATATCGACTCAAAGTGTTCGGGGCCTTTGACTAGATGTAACCTCTGTAACTGCGGCTTAAGGACACGTCCAGAGAGCAGCCGAAGCATCCAAGGTAGTTGTAGGTATGTACCGTACCTGACGATGCTGCATTCAGCATCGATATCATCACCTCGCCTGTATCTTCTTCTTGATTCTCAACTCACCAAGGAATCCTACTTCAACCCCACCACCACATCCACCATATTGACCCACCTCGTTCGCGACTCGGGCAACTCCTCTTCCTCCTCCTCACCCCCATCCTTATCCCCATCATCTTCCTCCTTCTCCCCTACAATATCCCCCCCCTCCCCCTCCTTCTTCACCACCAACCCCAACCCCCTCAAACCCTTCCGCCGCTTCTTAATCGCCGCCTTCGACAAAACCCGTCCACTCCCCTCCTCCACGCCCGTCTCGACCTCCCTCCTCATCCTCTCCGCCCCCTCCACCACCCTCTTTTTTTGGTCAACATCAACCTCCACATCATCCACAACCAACACACTCCCCGTCGTCACCGTAACCCGAAACTCGGCACCCCCCGCCGCATCCCGCAGATACTCCCCAACCGCCACGGCCTTCGCAATCGCCCGCCCCGTCGCCTTGACATGCACCTCCTCCCGCCGCAGCGCCTCCTGCACCTGCGCCACCCGCTCCGCTTGCGTTTTACCGCCTCGCCCTTTGGTGGAATGTAAGCCACTGGTGGCGCGCTTCTCGGCCTGCCGCAGCAGCTTGCGGACGCGCGTCACGACGCTCATTTTCGGGGTGGTCGTCGAGACGTAGATGGTTTTTGGGACACTGGAGCCGGTGTAGGGTGTTGAGGGGGTTGGGTGCGGGATCGGCCGTTTGGTGATTTTTGCGTCTGCGGCGAGGGGGTTAGTTCTGGGGTTGGGGTTGAGGGTTTGGTAATGGGGTGGTGGGATGGGATGGGATGGGAGTGAAGGGCGGGCAGCCGTACATTTTGGAAGTTTGGTCATGTTTTGGTTCTTTTTGGTGAAGGTCAGGGTTTCTTGCGGTTTCGTCGGGGGTGGTGGTGTTGGTTGGGGCATTTTGGTTTGAGGGTGTGGATTCGGTTTGGGTGTGGTTGTTGATGGGTTGGTGGGTTGGTGGAAGGTTGGAGGTAGGTGGTTTGATATTGGTAATGGTGAGGAGTTGGAGAGGATAACTGCGAGTAAATGCTGAGGTTGTTGGTTGTTGGATTGGACTGGGTTGGATCGCGACGGACATCACTTAAGGTCGGGTTGCTTTTCTTTGATGGTTGGCCGGATTGGGTTTAGTGGGGGTCTCTTATCTTATCGCTTGCTTCCATCCACTGTGCCGATATCACGGTACACAGTATAGACTTCGTCGAGGAGACAACATTGATGCCATCATAGTTTATGTCAACGTGGAAAGGAGACTTCTATCCTCTATTCTGTATGATTAGCTGGCTTACAGCGATAGATGCTCATGGCACTCTCGTCAAAAGCGTTTGTCTGACCGATATATGCCCACCTCTTAGGTACAGTACTGGTCCTCCCCGTCCACCGTGCAAGAGCTGGCTTCACAACTGCAACCCAGGAGATAACCTAGTGCCACGTGTGTATCTCCTGACGGTAGGAGTCTGTACTCTATCTCGAGCATGTTTTTAATCCATTACACTAACAATCAAACCATATAAGCAGGCTCTTTCTTGGACTTCTCCCCCGTCTTGCCTCGAACAAACCCCCGGCATCCTTCCCAGAGACGCACACAGCATCCTACCAAAGCCTGCAAGTCCCATAGATAGATAATGTAGGCAAATAACGTTATTGGCACGCATAACACAAAGAACCACCAAAACCTCACCGCATTCTGCCCCAGCAGATCGATGTTCATCCCGAGAAGACTGGAGCTGAAGCTGAGAGGTATGAACAGCGTCGCCAGCAAAGTCAACTTCTTCAGTCGCTCTGACTGCTCAATGGCCTTGCGCGATTCCTCTATCGTGGCTTTATTCATTGCGAGAGTGATGCCTTGGGTGCACATCTTCGACAAGTCGACACAGCGTATATACAGCTCCTCATAATCCTCAAACAGCCCGGCTGCTGCAAACGCACCGTTGGCACCATGGCCACCGGCCATCGTGGCTCCCTCGGATTCCGCGCTGGGTCGGCACGTCCTGGCGCCAAGACGACTCGTCGGCACGGCATTTTTGGGCAGCGGACTGAGTGATCTCATTCCACTGGAATCTGGAGTGCTTCGCTCAGCTAACTTGTAAAGCGCACGGGTACTATCTTTCAGCTGCCCGGCATGGCGCTGGAGCATGTTCGAGAAAAAATGCAGCACCCCCAGCGCGTCGTCGGCGGGCACTCCTCCGGCAATGGCGTTGATCTGGGCTTGGATTCGGGACTCCAGGAGGTTCAAGAACTGCACTTCGGAGAACGCGGCGTGCGCGAACAGGGGGATGCACATGGCGAGCGGATCCTGGGGTGCCCGACGCGCCAGATTGACCATTGCGATCAGAGAATCGTACTGCAGGGGAAGGATGGCCGTGCTTTGCTGAATCTCTGCTGAAGCGTTCGGGTCGGGATCGAGACGGTTGGTGGTCGTGCGGAATGCCATTTTGGGATGGTGCTGCAGGATTGGGAGTGGTGTGGCTTTGGCTTCGATGTGTCTGGTCCATGGTCCCGGGGGGGATTTCTCCAGCGGTCTCCCTTGGTCCGTCCAGGCTATCGCTAGAGAGATTTATTGCTTATCAGCATCGGCCACATTCTCTGTTTATGTGACATCGCGATCTTACCTACCCAACCTCTATCTGTCCTTGCGACATACAGCGAGATCCATTGCTCAATCACAGAGAAGCGCGGGCAGATGGTGGCGTACTCGGGCACCAGGGAGTCTCCGCATCGTACTCGACCCGATCCCAGCTGCTGTATCTTGTAGCTGCCGAGCTCCTTGAGCTCCTGAGCCCGCTGCGCCTGGAGATCCTGTCCGCCGAAGTCATCACGATGCAGGATCGTGCTCACACACAGTCGGTAGATGTTATCCGAGGAACTCGATAGTGATGGGAAACTGTACGAATGCCTGTCAATACTCGCGGACAGAAAATCCAGATGGTGTCGGAAGAACTCCGGGTCGATATTGTATTTGCTCCCGAGGACCGACACCCACGATGGCGATATGAAGCCTCGAATGAAAATCATCTGCCCCAAGCCGTTTGACGGCACCGGGGTAGCGGCGGAAAAGGTCTCGTGTTGCTCGCAGCTATACGACTGCACGCCCCACCTGCTCTCGCTACTATCGTATACTACAACTAGATCATGAGACTGCTCGGCCGTCGAAGCGAGGCAGGTGGCATGTTCTTCAGGCTTCGGGTTCACCCCGCGATCTTGCAGCATCCACTCTGCGATGTCTACATAGTTGCTTCCGGGGAAGACAGAGGTGCTCGAGTACCTCCTTGAGAGGGAGATGATGGCTCGGGTGTAATTCTCGGGTGTAACTATTGAGGGAGGATGTATGAGCTGATAGGATGCGGTTGAGGATGGAAGTTTAAAACCCACGTGCAGATTTCCGACGCTCCATGTGTCCTTCCATGTGCTGTATCAGCCGTCGACTAGGGTATAACTAAATGTCTGAATCTGTTTGTGCGCTGGCATTCAAGTCGAAATGTCGTTCGAAGCTTCTCTAGACCGAAGACTGACAAATGCCACGCATAATTGGCAGAACTATTTCTCTTCATGCTATCTACTCGGTACCCCGCCTGCATTCAATGAGGACACTGCCGCTGGCACTGCATCTGCAGACACATTGATCTGCCACTTCAGATTATGTGAATTCATCAAAGACGCTAATCACAAAAGGATTGACCCACCTTAGCGGCCCACTTGTAAGTGAAGCGATGAAGTTGCCTCCAGGTGATCTTCATCATCCCATCCACCTTTCGTGCGGGTTCAGCCACGCTAGACGATCTTGGGTATAGACGCTAGTTGCTGAGGACATCGTCCAACTAACAATGCACGATAGCTGTCTCGACCCAGCTCAGAAATCTCGCTCAGATTGTATCCCTCCAACCATCCCGTTCTCCTATCAATTGGGAGCTACCTTTCACACAGTAGCCATGACTCGTCTCAAAAAAGAGTAAGTCCTCTTCCAGGTGCTATCCTGTGTGAGGAGATTCTCTAGGTCATTCATCTTCTGCTCGACGAGGCAAAGCCAAATAGTACATCCTGCAGGCTGACGAAGAATGCTCGCAGCTTCCCAGCAGTCCGCGCCTGCATCTTCGACATGGACGGCCTCCTCATCAACTCCGAAGACATCATCACCCAATCTACAAACAAACTCCTAGCAAAGTACCACCGACCGGCCTTCACTCGAACAATCCGGGCTCAGCTCATGGGCGTCCCGGACTCGACCAGCAGCGATGCGTTCCACGACTGGGCGCAGTTGCCTGTCCCCCGCGAGCAGTTCGCCGGCGAGCTGCACGAACAGATGCGCCGCGACTTCCCCACCTGCACCCCACTACCTGGCGCCGAGAAGCTTCTATCGGACCTCAGCCGCGCACGGAGTGTTGTGTCTTCCTCTTCCTCTTCTTCTTCTTCCAGGGACAGAATTGCGCTAGCCTTGGCATCCAGCACCAAATCTCAGAGTTACGAGCTCAAGATCACACGGCCAGAAACGAGGCGTCTGCTGAGCTTCTTCCCGCCGGGTTGCCAGATTCTCGGGGATGACCCACGGGTGCGAGAGGGGCGAGGGAAGCCCGCGCCCGATATTTACTTGGTTGCCCTGCAGGCGTTGAATTCGGCGGCGGAGCAGGGTGCGAGGCCGATCTTGCCGGAGGAGTGCCTGGTCTTTGAGGATAGTCTGGCGGGGGTGGAGGCTGGAAGACGAGCGGGGATGAGAGTTGTTTGGGTTCCGCATCCAGATGTGGCGAAGGAGTACCGGGGTAGGGAGCCGGAGGTGCTGGCGGGGAGATCGGGGATGTTTCGGCTCGAGGACGAGTGGCAGCTAGGCGAGATTGACGATGGCTGGGCGGAATGTATACCGAGCTTGGGGCATTTTGAGGCTGGGAAATACGACATCCAGATGTCATGCTAACCACTGCGGAAGTGAACTGTCCCTAGCACGGTGTATAGCCTTGGACAGCCTACCCAAAGGTATATAACTGTAAAGTAAGGTATTAGTCAAGAGCACTGTTAACGAGAACATGTTGGATCAAGTCAATTTGATAGAACCGACGACGATGTCTATAACTGCAATGCAACTACGTTGCATCAATACTGAAGATGTCCAGCCGATATCACTCAGGATGAACTTCAAACTAGTGGCCTCGAAGCGGAAGCATGCTACTGCTCAAGAGTGAATATGTACTAGTAGTTGTGAATGGTGTTGATAAGAAAGGCGAATATGTCGCCGAGGCAGCCCGGTGTCTAGGTGAGTCTAGGAGAGGTCTGAATCTTCTCTCATTCAACATAGCATCATAATGAGCAAAGACATCGTTGCGATAGCGTATCTCGTGTGTTTGCCAGCTTCCCCACATCTTTTTCATCGAAGCTCAAAAAGATAATGCAATGCACAGTCATTTAATGGAAGTCCGTCGATTGTTGGGATTGCGCGTGTGTGGTTGGCGACTAGAGGCCAACTACCCCGCATCGTCCCCTGCGCCATTGACAGGGATCGGAAGACTTCACCATCCTCACCTCACAGACAGTTGAAGGTTCTGACTGTCTGGCATCTCTCAAGTCTCGGTACACTGCAGAGCCATAGCCATTATGACGAGCCTTCCTCCCCATGGCCAACTTCGGACACTGAGGGACCCGATCAATGATTCCCAGTATGGCATTGAGTAAGCAGAATGCACTTTGTGGCTCCTTCTAATTCTCTCGTTAACCACCAGCCCAGTATTGTCCTCGTTCCAGGTATCGGGACAGCCTCGCCAGAGCATTGGCCGTTTGCAAACCAGACATGGCTCGCCACCCTCCCTGAGTCCGCCATTGGAGCACGCATCCTCGCGTACGAATACACTTCACCATTTGCCGGAAGCAAATCCTCATGGGAATCCATGTTGATGCTAGCTTACAATTTCTTGCAGCATCTCAATGACTCGCGATCACGACTGAGTTCAGATCTGGTAGGTAGACTAGTCCGTCAGCCGTCGTAACCCGCAAGTTATACATGCTTACTGAGGTCTCCTCTACAGATATCGAACAGACCCATCATGGTTGTCTGTCACAGCTTGGGTGGAATCATAGTCAAACAAGCATTGTGTAATGCCAACAAGCAGTTTTTCCGGTTCGAGTCAGTTGTCAACGCGACAGCTGGCGTTATATTCCTAAGCACACCGCATCGCTACGACGACGGAGCCACGAGCTGGAATAGATTTCGAGACATTTTAGAATCAACCACCGGCAAGACCCCCAAGTCTTCGGCTGCTCACATTGAGCAAGAAGGGTCGATTTTGCTTGACCTCGCAGATCGATTCGAAGGAATCTCGTTCCGCACTCCGATATTGTCGGTCTATGAACTCAGAGAATCGAAAAATAGCTCGACACCATTGCTTCCAAAGTATCAACAAGTCAGTCTCGGAGCTTGACATCTTAGCTGAGAAGCAAAGACTAACTCATATCATAGTTGGTCACCAGAGAAGCTTGTTCAACTCATGCCCCAATGGAAACGGTCATTGGACTTAACCTCAATCATCACGATACTTGTCTTTTCACCAAGAGCATTGGCGGCGAAGGCCTACCCGGGTTAAACAAGTTCATTTGCGATACGATGGAAAGCGCCGCGCAGCTTGTTGCCCTTCGCCTCGAAGACCGTAGGTTATGAAGGATTATCAAGCCGTAATGTTGTGTTAATGACCGATGCTAGAGGAGTACCAGTACGCAACAATGAGCGCTTACTCGCCCACGATGAGTGAAGCACCTTGGAGAGGTGAGTCCTTGGCCTTAGAATTTAGGGAGGGTCAGTATACTGACGTCGCACAGCTGAGCAGTTTGAGCAGAGTGAATGGCCATCGAACCAAGCAACTGAATGGCCGTCAAACAAAGCAACAGAAGGAACCTCTCTCGGGGGATTTGAGTTGTTACATCCTGCCACACCCAAGGAGATTCGGAAGATTCTCAATCTACCCTGCTATTCCCTCAACACGCATTCTGCAAATAGTGACTTTTGCGGTCGCGAGGATGTCTTGGAACGTCTCGCAGCTGAACTCCTACCCTCGAAGAATGTCGTCGCAGCATCAAGCACTGGATTGCGACAATTTGCGCTATGCGGGTTTGGTGGGATCGGCAAGACAGAGATAGCCCGCGAATTCGCTCGCCGCCACAAAGCTCGCTTTGATGCAGTGTTCTGGGTCGTAGCCGATGAGATCGCGAAGCTTGATCATCATTATCAACAGATCTCGCTGGCACTGGGCCTCGAAGATGCATCGGATTGTAAGAGCCAAGTCGTCAGCAGAGAGATCGTGAAAGGGTGGCTTTCCAGGCCCCGAAAACATCTAACCGGGTCGGACGAACTCCTCCAGCCGGGTCACACCGGTGCAGAAGCGACTTGGCTGCTGATATTTGACAATGCAGATGACCCAATGGTGCTGGCGGACTACTGGCCTCAGGGCAGTGGTTCCGTCCTTATCACTAGCCGCGATCCAATGGCTATGAGCATGTTCACCAGAAGACCCTCGGGTCTGGGTCTCGGGCCGCTGTCACAGAAAGACAGCCTAGCCCTCTTCAACCACCTGACTACGATCTTCAGCGAGCCGGAAGATACGACAGCGCGACAGATCTCTGATGCGCTCGGCGGCATTCCTCTGGCTATCTCACAGATGGCCGGTATCATTCGTCGGCAGGACCTCACCTTGTCCGAGTTTCTGGAGCTTTATACTGACCAGGAAGAGCATGCTAGTCTCTACGAGACCAAGTTTGATACCAACATGATCACCTACCGACATTCCCTTGCTACGGTGTGGACATTTGAGAAATTGAAGCCCCAAGCGCGACAACTGCTCGAGGTGATCGCATTTCTCGACCCGGATCTCATTCGCGAAGATCTATTGATGCAGGCAGCAGGGAAGATGAGTTGCGAGAGCGCGCCTTACAAGAAAAGCACCTTCATCGATGCTCGATCCGACCTGCTTGCAACTCTCTCTGATCCAGAGAGACAAGAACAAGTCCCAGATATCGGTGCATCGCATTGTACAAGATGTGGTCTTGGCTAGAATGGAGTCCGCAAAGAGACACCTCATCTTCGACAAACTCGTGGAGATACTTTGGGTGAACTGGCCGTCGGCTATGCCCAAGCCATCCAAGGAGCCCGAACTACCGCAACCCAAATCGAGCGGCGGCAGGCTATATGTCGGCAGATGGCCTGCATGTGCCGCAATCTATCCTCATGTTCTGAGGTTACATCAGCTCTGGCCAACCATCTCATGTCCTTCCGAGACCACCAGTCTGCTTTTCGCAAAGCTTTTAACCGAAGCTGCATGGTCCGTATACCCCGTTCTTCAGAGTTTCCCTCTCCCTTCAGCCGTCATGAAATCTAATGCAAAGCAGGTACCAGAAGGAACGCGGTCGAACCAAGCATTTCGACGGCTTCTTCGACACCGCGCGCCGGGTCTGCGACGCCTCCGCGCACCCGGACCGCGACTCCCTGCTCGCCGACATCCACTTCTGCCTAGGCGCGATCGCCATGGACGCAAGCGACTTCTCCGCCAGCCGCATCCACAAGGAACAGTCTCTGAACCTGGTGGCCGCGATCTGCAGCGAGCTGGGCACCGCCGACGAGCGGCTGTATCTCGCCACCGCGGAGCGGGGGATCTCGCGCATCCAGGACGGACGCTACGCGGAGGGCGAGGCGGACCTCAAGGAGGCCCTGCGCATCCGGAAGACGTGGGGCAACTACGTCCCGCGCTCCGGCGAGGCCAACCTCAGCTGGGCGCTGCTGGCGCAGGGCAAGCTCGACGAGTGCAACGCGCTGCTCCTGGACAGTCTGGCCGGCCGCGAGAGGGCGCTGGGCAAGGACGATCATGAATCGGTCCGCACGGGCCTGATCCTCTACGCCCTGGGCAATCTGCGGGCCGCGCAGGGCGAGTGGCAGGACAGCTTCACGTATCATCAGCGGGCGTGGCGCCACATGCGCGCCACGGTGGGCGATCGCGACTTCTACACCGCGAACGTCGCGCACAAGCTGGCTGAGCATCTGAATCGGGTCGGTCAAAGCGAACAGGCGATGTGAGTGCCCCCTCCTCTTCAACGAAAACACTTGAACATGCACCCCGTCTAACACACCCTTCCTTTTGGTAGTGCAATGATCAACACAGCCCTAGAGATCTGGTCCGTCGACCCCAACGCGCACAAGAACGAGATCGCGCGCACCACGTTCCTCAAGGGGAAGGTTTTCGAGACGACGGACAAGCCCCAGAAGGCCTCGATTGCGTTGCGGGTGGCCGCCCGTCTGAGGAAGGAGATCACGAAGGAGGATCGCGATGTGAAGAGGTTGACGACCGGGGACTTTGATGCGATTGTGGCGTTTTGGGCTCGTTGATACAGTACCCCCGTCTTTTGCCCGGATTGGTGGTAGAGCCGGGACTTTGGGCAGCTGGAGTCTTTCTCGGCGATGTATCTCTATCTCGTGGTTAGGCATTTTGGAGGCCCAAGAATACTCATAGCTATTAGGGGTCTGATCCGGTAGGTGATTCCTAGAGATTCAGGTCAACCGGCGCGCTCCATACAGTCCACACACATGGATAGTCACTTCACTGGCTGGAACCTGAAGGATGTCAGAGACTGTGCTGTGCTTCTTACATAGAGTTCATCGGCAAGAAGCCCTCCCCTTACTGCCTATCTAAGCGGCGCTAGTTCTGAATCAGGGGATGTCGAACTGAAAAGAATAGCTAGTACTTGGGTATCAAACCAACTATCCCAAACGGGGTTTGATGCGCCCTAGGGCGTCTGCCCATACTTCTTTCTCTCCCGCACCCTATATCCCCATGCTTCTCCACCCGAGCATCCTTTACCCCGAATTGGAGATCCCTTGCTCAATACAATCCCTGTTGATTGAAATTTTGATACACTCTGCATGCAATGCTTTACATTATCGCAGACGAGAACAAGAGGGGATACTGAAGTATTCACTGAAGTATATCAGATTCCTCATCCTCTTCTTCTGCAGGGGCCTCAAGCATTATGAGGATGTGCGATGAGTAACAACGATGATTTCTCCAAGACAATGCTCTTCAAGAGCGTGCTAGATTATAGACGCAAATAAAAATTCTAATCCCCTTCCAAATGCTGAATGAAAGTGATGATCTAATCACCCGAGCCACAGCACCAACCACAGTCTAATAAATCGACGCCCTTTATATACATACTACATGCCACACAATCTCAAAAAACCGCCTGCTCGCGCGGCGGCTGCTCCTCCGCCGAGGAAAACAACGCCCGCGTGCGGCTCATGGTGTTCCGCTTCTTGCGGTCCTTCTTGCGGTCCTTCTTCTTGCCGTTCTCCACGGGGCTCTGGTTCTCCTGGTGGGCGTGGTGATCCTCTGACACCACCACCGGCTGAACCTCCGCGTAATCCGGCAGCGGCTCGTCGGCCACCAGCTCGGGGAGAGGGTTCTTCTCGGTAGTTGGATCGGGGTCTCCGGCGGTGCCAGAGGGCTCCTCCTCGTGGATGACCGTCGCATAGCCCCATTCCCTCGTGCGGGCTGCCCAGCTCCCCCACCCGTTCCAGGTGTCATCTACGGCGGTCTCGGGCGGTTCAGCACGGTGGTATCTGTCATCATCGCCGTCGTCGTCATCGTCATGGGGGATGGGCTCCTCCTCCTTGATTGGCTGCTCGAGGGGCGCGTACCTCTCGGCTGGGAGCTCTTCTTCGTATTCCTCGGTGCCAGTGGCGGCAGCAGTGGCAGCGGCAGCAGTATCATGGGTGTCTTGAAAGTCTTCGATTGGTTCCTCGGCCACCGAGGCAGGATAGCCCTCCGAGACATGGGCACTGGACGGCGGGCGCTCCTCGATCATCTCTTCCGCAAGTGCATCCAGATTTTGTCGCTCATACACCCCTCCCTCCACCTCGTCCAAGTCATCCAGCTCCACCGTCCGCTCATCCGGATACTCCTCCGCGATATCCTCCAACCCGGCCACGACCGCACTCCTCTCACCGCCAACCCCAACACTCCGCAAATCCTCATACCCATCCCGCGACTGCAACCCACCCCCATTCCGCATCGCCCGCTTCTCCAACTCCGCAATCCGCGCCTCATAGATCCAGACCAGCGCCTGCACCAAGAACCGATCGAACCCGGTCTCCGCGCCCAGCAGATACTGGAACCGGGGGCGCTCGAACAGATCGCGATCCTCGACGAAGGCATCGGCCATCTTGCCGCGGACATACACCTCGAAGAACCAGGGGTCGTAGTCCGGGATCGTCGACCCCTTGCCGCCGCCGTACACCTTCCGGGCCACGCCCAGCACGTCGAAGATGCTGAGGTGGGTGTCCAGCTTCTGCAGGTACTTGCGCGCCAGGGTCTGCAGGCCTTGTAGCTCATAGCGGGCCGCCGCGCCGTAGACCAGCACGCTGCGCCGGTACTCGGTCTTGGTCCAGTCGCTGCCACCCGCGGGCCGCAGCGTCTGGTAGCTGCCCGTGTGCAGGTAATGGACGACCGTGTGGATGAGGTCGTCGTCGACGTCCGGCAGGGGGATGCAGGGCACCGTCTTCGTGATGAAGTGCGGGTACGTGCTGAGGATGTCGGTGAAGATCGGGGATTGGCGGAGGTAGTACTCGGGGACCGAGTGTTTGCGTTCGTGGGGGCCGAGGAGAAGGACCACGCGGCGGGATTCATAGGGGCTGTGGTTTTGAGGATCGGATGTTAGGGTTTGTTCTTGTTCTAACAAGGATAGGGGCCGTACGAGGACTCTGGCTGGTCGTATTCTTCCACTTCGACTTCCACGGTATCATCACCGTTCATTCGCGAGGAGGATGAGGATGATTTGGGTGGTGCAAATCGCACGGATGGGCCATGCGTGCCGTTACTGCGGGCATGGCCGTTGCTTTGGACGGCCATTTTCTTTCTGTGGTGATCGAGTTGGTCGCGCTATACTTCGTCGTCGTACTTGGCTCGTCTCTCTCGTCGGGTGCGGTTCGTTGCGTTGCTCGCTGCGTCAAATTCACCTCAAGTGCTGCTTGCTTGCTGCGTAGAAAACCAAACCTAACAAAGCCTCGTACTCGAGAACTGCTGTGAAACTCGGAGAATATTCTCCTCATGCTCCAGACCGAGGGGCAATGACAGCTTATACCCCCCGCAACCGTCGTGATAAACGAAACCCAGTTCCTGCCTTATGAGCTGTTCATACATCGTGGAACCAATGGCTGCGCTCCACATCAATGACTAAGGTATCTAAACGGTGTTTCGCCTTGCACCATCCATGGATATCATTGGATGGAAGCACGTTGCCTGACATCGACGGTAGTCTGCGGAGTTAGGCTGGTTTCAGCGAGGGTGGGTGTCTGGCTTGGATGAGACAATCAGGTGGTGGAGGTGGTGAGTTGGCGCATGGGATGCGGGGTTGATCGCTGATGTGGCGTCGCTGTCTGCTTATCATCCCATCCGTGCTGGATGCCGCGCGGTGGCTGGGAATTATATTCGGTACCCTCGATTAGCGACTTGCTCGGGGGCTTGGAGGCTTGATTTTGTTTTGCATGGTAGTGTAACGAGACGCTTGAGTTGAAAGCTTGTCGTGATGCTTTCTATTTTTATCGTGTCTGACCAGCTCCCTGCCTGATTCCCGGTCACTTCTTCGCTTAACTTGCCGAAATGGCCATTTGCTTCTTAGGTCTACTGCAACTAATCACCCTTCGATCAACTCGTAATCACGACGCGGTCGAACCAAAAAGAACATTGGCAGCGACAATCCAACCAAAGCAGCAGCCACAATGAACGGGAGCCCAGTGTACTCAACGCCAAGCTGCAGTCCCAAAGCGAAGGCACCAGAATAGATAGGCCCTGCCAAGGAGGTGCTCAGAACGTGAAGGATCGTGAAGATCGAATAAACCACACTGATATCCTCGGGGGAGATCGTCAAGGTCACAAGCGACCGCAGGGCCGAGTTAAGTCCTCCCGTGGCGGATATCAGAATGACCCCTGCATATGCCAGATTACCAGATGACTCTATAATAGAGCCGGAGAGATTAAACATACCTATAGTGGAAATTGGCAGGGAAACACCCAGTCCGAGCAACAAAGTCCCCAGGCTAAGCATCGTTGCACTGGCAAGGGCGATTGCAAAATCCGTCTTATAGGTATTTGAACCGGCACGCGAGAGAAGCATCCGACTGATTCGCGGAAGCAATACGATGAGACACATGAATCTAACTGCTTCTCCTACCGACCACAAGAGATTGGCCTGTTGCGTCTGTTAGCTGATTCATACTCGTACCAGAAGTAACAACCCTTGCAAGACATACTCGAGCGAATTCCCAGTTGTATCTTTTCGAGATGTAGAGCAGCAGAGCCATGGGAAGCGAGTCTTCCCCGAGCTGGCCCAAGAAGGACATCCCTAGTAAGATGATAAGCGAGGTGTTGCCATATACCACCCTGGCCCCTTTGTGAAGTTGTTGCGTTATTTGGATGAGACGAGATCTCAGACTGGCGTGTTCCTTGATAGAGGAGTCACTCTCCTGAGACACAGTGATCGTATCGTCATCACGATACTGTCCAGGGTTCAACGCGGTGGCCTCATCCGGCGAACTCCGAGTAGTGGCTGGATGTAGCTCTGACGGGGTGGTCAAGATGGCAAGGAGAAGGCAGAACAACCCCAAGAGCCACGGCACCCAGACATGATGGCTCATGAGGAGCGAGCTGCCGAACAGGGCCAACACGGCTGCTGCAATCGCCATGGCACGAATGAAGAAAAAGGTTGTGGTTCGTTTCTCCTCCGTAGCGGCTTCAGCAGCCAGTAGATGGATCATGGTGATAATAATGCCGGGACCACCTCCAATAATTTCGAATACAGGGGCCAGGAGAATGAGGCGGATTGGAAATGTGTTCGAAAACCAGCATATCAGACAGCTCCATAATTCTTCACAGAGGACGCCGAACAATGCTAGTCGGAGGGAGAGACAGCGGCCGTATCGCTCGGCGAAGATACTCCATGGGATCACTAGGATGGCTGTCACAGGTCAGCACAGAGCAACGAGAAAGGGGTGGAGAAAGAGGTTAAGATGTACTTGGTAGCGCCCCCAATACTCTCTCTGTACCCTTGAGGAAGGCCAATTCTTCTTGGACCGCTTTGTCTTTGCACCTGGCGCTCGATAGCGGTATGGTCGCGTTATCTGGGAGAATCTGATCGCAAAGAATGGACTCGTAGATTTGGGTGCGCGGGCCCGACTGGATGTTTTCGCCTAGGAAGAAGAGGAAGGCTGTCAGGAGCAGGGGCAAAAGAACTCGTGTCGACCGGGGAGGGGTGATATGTTGTGCCATCGCTGAATCTTGAATCAAATCCTGAAAGAGAGTGGGAGGAACAATTCCGTTGCTATTTGATTCCGAGGTGGTGAGGGAGCTCAATCACGCCTTCGGCGATAGCGCGGACTCCGGTCATTGGGAGGATTTTGATCCTGGTCTAGATTGAGTACTAGCAGCAAGTTATGTCGCATCACGAGCAGTTTCAAATATGTTTTCTGCCTCGTCGATATGTCTAGAAGCAAAGCCTTCTCGTGGTTTCTCACAAGGCAAGGCTGCCTAGGATCACTGGGTACTCGATATGTTGTAGTCTTACATAGACTAAACCCTTTCCACAGGCTTTTTGAACGCATCATAGATTCTATCCTCTGTATCTCTTTCATAGCACCACAGCAGCTGAGCCATTCTCCTTGGCTTGGATTTAGGCTTGGTCCAGACCTCTCAGTGATTGGGTTCTCCGCTAAGAGAGGAGCGATACTTACTCGAAAGCGTCTCCGCCATGGAGCTGGACAGACTTCAAATTACGCACACCATGGACGAACGGTGTCTGTTCCGTAGTAAGCGTAGTAAGCGGGAAAAAAAAAAAAGAAAAGAAAAAAGAAAAGAAAAAGAAACAAGCAATGAAAGAGCTTGACGAAGGAGACGATGTGCCTCTTATCTTCTTGTGTCATGGTTGTCTCGGATGACCTGCGCGACCTTGGCGGCACACTGAGCGGGCTGTCTGACTACAACCCCAGGTCTATTTATTTTGTTCTTTGCTCGACTACAGCTTTCAGACAGCCTGCTACTGTCTATGGATGAGTTCTAGGTATATATCATCCTTTAAGATCGCAAATCACACTCCCATGTAGTGTGGTAGTCATCGATCTCATCATCCCGCATCTATAGACATCCCGCTTTGCTCTGGAAAATACAGCCAGGGAAGGTAGCAATGTAAGTACAAATCCGATATCGTCTGCAAGTATACAGCAGTTCGTTCCTCAAGACGTACCATACAGTGCTCAGCAACCTAGAGACAGAAAGCAACTCATCAACATGATACTCCGCAAAGATGTCGATGGGGCTGCTTACCTGATCACACAGACAACTCCGCCACGGATCCTCGGGGCAGGCATCGATGCCCTCATACGCAAAGTGATCTTCACATTTGATTTGCTACACCATAATTAGCATAGACCCCCTCTAATTGTCTTGCTCTTTCCTGACGAACCTCTGCCTTGCAAGTCAGCTCTATGCTGGCGCATATATCCAGTCGCTCGGTGGCGGTGGGGATGGCTGCTGTCATTGTGGCGAGGAAAGTAAGAAGAAGGGCTACGGTAGTTCTCATCATCATTCCTTTCTTTGAACTCTCAGACTGGAATTGAGTTGTGGTTAGAGTCTGGGTCCGAGAGAGGAAAGGATACTAGGGAAGTTGAGCTGTTGGCAGGGTATTTTGTGCGAAGTGTTCGAGGCTCCTTTTATATGATTCTCGCAACACAACCCCCTCGTGCAGAGATACAGGCACCAAAATTCCCCAGAGAATTAAAGTTGTGAAGAAAGGGGCCCCGCACCCCCTAGCAAAGTTTCACGAAGCAAATCTTCTATACAATCGTGCAGTCTAGCCCATGAGTTTGGCCCCCTTACCTCAAACTAGGCTACCAGCGATTCACAATTCTGTTCGACGAGTTGCAATCAGAGAAACCTGAGAACTGAGGCTGAGCACCAAGAAGGCTAACTGAGCCACAAAGAGAGAATAGGGATCTCTGCCCCCTTCGATCAGACAAGACCCGGTTTAGCATCCGGATCGACTCTCACAGTCGATCGGTATATGGCTCTCCAAGTTCAACAATGTTTGCGATAACAGACCCCATGTTTCTGAATGATAAAGTTCAGCCCTACGGGTCTAGCAAAGCAAATCAGATAATGGAACGCTGTGACAACATGAGAAGTGTTACGATCAAGCTAACTTACTTAACTTACTGTACATCACTATAAGGTAGTGAACAACGGATGGTTCGGACCATCTACTGAGCAGCAGCTCTCGCACTCATTGCTACCTAGCTTCGTCCCTATACACATCCTTCGTACTTGATATTCGATGCTTCAGGGCAAAGGGACATCACATCACCTTCCCCAAACTGCAATCGCTTAGTTGAGCTCCGCCAGCACACGGCTGTTTTCCGACAGGAGGATCAGCACTCCGAACATCAACAGAAGTAACTTACCGAGGACGATGCCAGCAAAGAAAGGCGCAGAAACGATGTTTCTGTCTGGCTGCTAGGATTTGCGTCTACATAATAGAAAGTTCTGTTTCCTACATGCAATATCTATCACCTTGCTATCTTTCTGTGAATGCCATAATGCGGAAGGAGATCGAGTGAAGATCCAGAGAGGTTCTGTTTAATCCGGGATAGTTGACCCATATTACCTCTTAACTTACAGACACAGCGCATGAGCAACCCAAAAAAAGCCAATTATAATATGCTGTCTTATTGCTCGGATCTACCGGTACGCACTAGCAGAATTCCCGAAGACATCAAGCCCCAGAAACATGCAGTCACGCCGCTCATTTACTATTTCGGTGACACATCATATTTCATGCTTAACTATATGCTTGAAGCTTTGCCGATCATTGAACTCTCAACAATCGACCTGCTGTGTCTTATAAGCAGGCCTGTAGTCATATTTTACGGCCGATCTTCTTGTTAGCCTTCTATTCCAACCCAACTTCATCTTCTCGTTTGTCCTCCCCAATCTACCTTGATCATCAGTACCCTTATCACAGAAACCCGCCCTTGCCCTCCTCGCCCTCCTCACCATCGCAGCAGCCAGCCCCATTGCGCGCCTAAAGCGACAGCAGACCGACTGCTCCGACGTTAGAGATACATGCTCCACAAAGGTTGGTGCTAAACATCCCCAACGAGTCCCGACTGCACAGATCAGATCGAACCTCAACCTCCAACACCTCATTCCCTCCGCTGCTGGTAACAATTATCTGTTCGAAGTTCAAGGAGTCAACCTGTCTGGATCTCTAGCCCCAGTGCGCTTTCGGCTTTGATACCACGGCCTGCCCTTGCGATACTGTAATTCATTCGTGTTCTTTCTTTGGGGGTAAACAGCGCCTAGGGTTGATGTGGGCGCACGGCTAATCTTGTCATCCCAGCTTTATGTGGATTGTCTGGTACGTTATAGATCATCAAGCTTGCAACTGGTTGTAAACCTGTTACTCGAGATATTGACCGATGTCGGTGATTGGCTTCTGCCAACCTCTAACACAGAAGGATGCTGGATGCTAGCGGATCCGACCAGTCGCGTGGACTGGAGAGGGGTGGAGTCCCATGTCATTCTTGAGTACAGAGAGTCGATCTTCTTGATATTGATGTTGAGAATACTAGGTAGACATCTACTTAACCCCCCCCCCCACCTCCCGGCTCAGTGCGGCGAATAGTATCTATCCATGTCGCTATTTGTTGTCTGCATTCAGAAAGAATGTATAACCCACACTCTGTGTGAGAGTTTAGTGCCCTTGGATCATAAATCAAGTCCTTATGAGTAGTCAGAAGCTATGGGCAAGAGATTCGCCTTTCAGAGCCGGACTGCTCCGCTTCCTTGGATACACATGGGTAAGATGTTGAGCTTTATTACACTGCCTTAGGTAGCTTATCAATTCTCCGAGCCTATCTTTAGATGGGAACTCTGGATGGATTAAGCTTCTAACTGCTTTTAAATTTAAGGTCATGTGGCAAAGAAATCTAGAACCGGGGAGGACTAAGTTATGGTGGCGTGGTGCGGGGTTTGATTCTTTGGTTGGAAGAGTTTTGGATATAAATAGTACCTTAATTCAAATATGGATATTATCTTTCATACCCAGGCATCAGACACTGGGATATATACACAAAATGATTTGATCATAGATCACAAAACGTAACTTCGTACTCATCAATTCATGAATCGTCACATAAACATAGCTTCGCTTCAAACGGAAAAATGAAAAAGGATGCAGTGTCTCTCGAGTTGTGACAGCGGGTCGTTGAGGTTGTTCGGCCATGACTCATCGTGACTTGGATTATTGCTAGGCCACAGCCTGTGCTTGCGGCTGGAATGTGGTCGACTGCGATGCAATCAACCGTCGCAAGCCGAACATGGATATATGATGGCGGCTGTGTTTGATGGAGGGTCGTGGTTTTCCGGAGGCACGGTTGGAGGACATGCGCACCAGGCCATTGTCGGGCAGCGAGTTGTTATTGTCGGCATCGCGACGTCGCACCATGGCTTTGACGGCCTTGGTGATCTGCGTGCGGATGGGAGTGGAGTCCGAGTCGCGCCGGCTTGTAGAGCGGCGGTGATAGTATTCTCCGTCGTCATCCTCTTCGTAGGTTTCGCGACGATATCGTGCGTTGTCTTCTTCTTCGGCTGCGACGCAGCGACGGAAGATGTGGTGGTGACCCAGACACCGACGCAGGTCGGGGGTTTGAGATTCAGTTTCACGCTGGAGTTTGCCCCGGGAGATTGCGGCCAGTTTGCCTGGGATGGCCGGTCGGTTGGCCAGGGGGCCAAGAGTGGAACTGAGACGCGGTGCGGTGCGACGGATGACCGCCGCGGGGATGCGGAAGAATTCAGCTGAGGAAGACATGGAGGGAACGGGAGTGTGTGTGTTCAAGATGATACTCGGTATTATGGTTCATTCGAGTTGCAGGAGGAGTTGAGGGTCGTAGACAAGCGGGCCAGGATGGATTTATATTCCCAATCTTGGATATTCCAAATCTGAACCGTGCTGTGGTCGATTCTGTCGATATCGTCAACATCATTTCTCGAACCTTGGACTGTGCAGTGGTGGTCCGTGGTTGAAGCATGCAGACAGGCGTGTGAATCGCAGAGCTCCCCCCGCTGTAACGTCAGAGCTGAACTCAATCGACGCGCATGTGGAATGTGAGCAAGTTGTTTGGGGCGGCTTTTCGCGGTGCAGTGCTTGACTGCTGAAGTGCTTAGTGAGCGTGGCGACCAACAGCCTTGCCCTGCTCGGCATTCTTGATATCATTGCGGCGCCCTTGTAAATGCTTTGATTCGTAAGCCCCTCCCCTCCCAATCAAGCTGCCCCACAGTAATCACTTTCTTTTCCTTCTTTTCTCCGCAAGATGGAGACTGCCGGTGGAGCATGGAGAACGCATTGGCTCGTCCCTTTTTGGCACGTTTCATGATCCCCACGAAACCTGCTACCGGCATTACAACCCGCCGCTCAAGGATCTCACCACCAGTAGATCGGATGTTGAGTGATCGAAATCGAGTAATCTAGTGCCTGATCACTCTCCCCCCATCGCATCGCTCCACTTTAATTCTCTGCTGCTCATAGACTCTTGGTTTTCAGTTTCTTGGTGATGTCTTGTAATTGCTAACGCCGAACGGTCCCTTTTCCATCCAATTATGGTATAGTAGGGCTCGAGTCCATGACGACGACTATCATATGCACCGCGCAAGGCCATGAATTCCAGATGACTATCCGCCCCCTTGAGAATTGTCAGGATTCATTCTACAGCCCACACAGGCCGCGTGTCGACGACGGTAGAAGCAATGGAATGAATGACCGACCCGATAAGATAGTCAAAGCCATCAATGAAGTAATTGACGGTTGTCATCCCTTGAAGCTCAATTTGAAGCTGTGGTGTTGTCGCGCCAGAGTCGTCGGCAGTTTGGAACGCAACACCTGTTCCTGTCCCAGTCCCAGACAACTCACCAAATCTCTGGGTGATGCCTATCTCCCAGCCGTGGATGCCCTACGGTGCCATTCCCGTCAAGGAGTCAGCCACCCGTCAGCCACTGGAACTTTCCAGTGACTCTCATAGTGACACAGATGTAACTATCCTCCCACCACGCTCCCAACGAGACGATCATGCACTTCTTACTCGATTGAACCTTCGTCTTCTGACACCTGTGACAGTGATCAGCCCTATTGTAGAGTTGAGATGACGTCGTGGCAGCGTCGTTGTGAATTGAAACCTCGATCGTCGAGCTGACACGAACCACGAGTTTAAATTCCTTGCTCACAAAGTTGCTGATCATCATTAATCGAATGAGCTTGATGATCTATGATGCAATGAATGAGGCGAATTGCCAAACTCTATTCTCAAGGTAGTATAAGGTCCAGAGTAGAGCCTCCTTTCCCCGGAGTGAGTCTATTCTTTTATCATGCATGGTAAGGAAAGGTGTCAGCTGCTTCCGAGAAGGGTTCGACTCTCGATCAAGGGCCTTGCTTGACTCATTTCATGAGAGGGTCATGTTAGCAGGCACATGTCTTGCATGTCTTGCATG